TATCTAAAGCTTTGTCTGGGATATGTTTAAGGGTGGTATAAAGCTAAGAAGAATTCCAGAGGCTAAACTATCAGCTTCACTGTTTTGACCAACTCCAGTAGCAAATGAGTTTAGCTTGTACTCAGAACATGTTCTGGGGGAGTGAAACAGAAAGTAATTGCTTTTCTTCTTTTAAAGCGTTTTCCATTTCTCATAGAATAGAAGAATGCTCTTATGTGAGTTCTCAACCAGTGGATGAGATTCTGCAGGTTGATCTCCAAGCCCAATCTGATTGTGCTTAAGTCAGTGGCCTGGGGTTTGACACTTCCCCAGGGAGCAATGAAACATCTGCTGGAAGCCCCCTCCCCCATTCCTTGACCTTAAAGCTTTAGGGGAAATGAAAAGCAGTTTCTCTCCACAAAAAAAGATTGGGAATGATGACTGCAATGTATTACTGTTTCTTTAAGGCTTCCATGGAAATGAAAGATGTTCCCCAGCAGAGATAGGTCAATTCTATTAAGAGAGTGGTGAGGCATTTCCCACATGAAAACTGAAAAATAACAGAAACAAGAGTATCTTTTTATTTGTTTGATTTTGTTGTTTTATATTTAGTTTGCTCACTATTAAGGAGAAATAATTAAATTGGGTATGATAATGGTTAAGTAGTAAGAGAAAAGAAGAAAGAATTTCAAAAGAGAGATTTTAACTTGCTGCTCTTCTCAACTGAGACTCAGGCTCAGTCTCCCTTCCTTCAGCAGACCTGTTTGCATCCCATCAGCTCCTGAGAGTCATCAAGAAGCTGAATTCCAGTAGCAAGTGTTAGCCTAAAGGACATCTTATTCTTCTCTTCAGTCCCCAAGTGGGTCACCTTGCCAGAACTGAGTAGGGGCGGAGTTCATGAAACCTGTACCTGTTACACTTCCATCATGGATGGGAGAGAGAAGGAGCTAGGCAAACCTTCCTCCAAAGTACAGCCGTGTTTTCATATTAATTTGACACCTGCCATCTGCTTCACTTCCAGGGAGGTTCTTATCTCCCAGGGAAGTGGAAGGTGACACTCTATAAGGACTAGAAACCTGACTGTTGGAACTGTGAGGATTCATTAGGTAATATCTATGAGCCCTGCAGAGGGTCTGGCAAAATACAACTGTGATGCTATGGCTTCTTCAACCCAAGAATTCAGGTTCATCTTTGATATTCCCTAGACACTAGCCCTGTTTGGTTACATAGAGAAAGGAGAAATATTAAACCATTTTTTAAAATTTTTTTCAGCTGACCTTTTACAGAGACAAGAAGTAATTTTGTTTGAATTCTCCATTTCAGTATGAGACAGTAACAGCTGGGTAGGGATTTTGCCCAATACTTCGTGGGGTTGATGCTCAATTGCTTTTGTTAGAATGTCATGTTATATTAAATCAATAGAACACAGTTATTAAGACATCCAACTACTATAAGTCAAGGCAAATCCTGAAACAAGAAACTTTTTCTAGAACACTAGAGCCTCCAGGACTGTAAAAATTGGATGTACTTGAAAAATCTGGTCCGTCCAAGAGGCATTTAATGGAATGTTCTGGGATCAGACTGTTTGGATTGAAGTTTAACCCTTATAAATGCTGTGAGTTCAAGAGCTAACAGATAAGGGAAGTGAAGAACACTAGCTCTGGAGTCAAGCTACTTGGGTTGGAACCCTTCTTCTGAAAAAATTTCAGGGCCTCTGGACATCAGCTTTATCATACGCAAAATGAGGATTTTAATGGCACATAATCTCCAAATGTTAGAGGGAGAATAAAATAAATTGACGCACATAGAATGTTTCAAGCAATGCCTGCACATAGTAAATGCTCAATAAATGCAACTATAGTGATTGCTATTTTTCTTTCCAAAATAATCAGGAGTAGAGATGAACTCCGGAAAAAATGCTGAACTTGGCATCTGACCTGAGAGGATTGTCAACTTATTACATAGGAGGATGAAGGCCAGGAAAGACTCCAGACTTGCCTATGAGAATGGGGTGGCATTCCATCGCAGAAAGACAATGATATTGGAAGGAAAAGAGATGGTTTGAATTGAAGTGGATGATGGATGGCATATCTGAAAGATTCCATTTCTTTATAGTACCCAAAATAATGGACAGTGCTATCTCTACTCAGAAATTTAACCTTGAATTGATCACTCATTAGCTTTTATCAGAAAGCTGGCTGAAACAAAGTGGCTGGGCAACAAAGATGGACTCAGAAGGTACCATGTAGTTCTTCAGTTTTCCGTTTTGTTTTGTTGGTTTACCTTATTTTGGCTATGGATGGTGGTAGTTCTAAGTTCTTTGCATTTTTATGGGATCTTTGAACCTAATTTCCAGGAAAAAAAAATCATTAGGAACATACATACAAAGTTTTGCATGGAACCCAAGGCAAGAATTCCTTCTTTAAATAGGGACTGAATGGGGTGTTAAATCAAACAGTTTTTGTTGCTGTTATTTGAAGATAGATAATTGAAGAGAAAAGAGAAATAAAAGTAGGGAAGCAAAGATATTAGGAAAGAGGTTTTATATGGACACTTTTTCCCTAGTAATAAGATCACGGCTGAGTTTCAAGAGGAAGCATTCTCTCTCTTAAATGTTTTGAAATATTTCATACTTCCTCCCTGTTCTTTATTTTTCAATTAAAATTGTGCTGTATTATGTGCACCTGTTCTTAGCTTTGTCATTAAAACACCCTGGCAACCACAAGAAAACATGCCAAATCATGATAACTACCTGCATTTTTAATAATGCCTAACATTTCCTACAAATAGGATTTCAGTGTATAGAACTTTCTGAATTGGAATATGAAACAGCTCTTGTTAGTTTTAATGGAAAAAGGCAGCTTAATTTCTAATGCTCTGTTTTAATTTGGTTTTTACCAGGCGGTGGCTTTATTGAATGTGAAATCCATATTCCTGTTTAGCTTCAGTATCTCAATTTTAAAACAGGAAAAAATCATAGCTTCAGTAACAGAATTGAGAATGATGTCTTGGCATCTTCTTTTATTTCTTACCTTTATTTTTTACTTTTTTACATCATTGTTAATTTTTGGATAGTATTTGATTTCTCATCTCAGATATGATCCCTGTAGTTTTTCCAGTACCACATCACCTGTGATTCATCTCTCTCGTCCTTTGTACCCCTCCCTATTTTTTTTAAAGATGTATTTATTTGTGCATGCAGAACTGGGGTACAGGCCAGAGGTGCAGGGGTGGTGAGAGGATTTACCAGAGGCAGAGTGGGGAGCAGAGCAGGCAGATCATTGAAGTACACAACTGAGGGAAGCAGCAGGCAGGTCAGGAGAGGTCTGCTGCACCGTGTGGGTCACCTCTGGGGCAGATGGGGATTGAACTCATGAGGAAGTAGCTTTAGCTTCTTAGTGCTGTGCTTTAACCCACTGTGCCACCAGGGAGGGCACAACCCCTCCGTATTTCTATCCCTTTCCCTCCTCTTCCCTGTTGTAGCCTCAGATCCATGGTCAGATTGCAAGTTTTGTCTCCTTCTGACCTATTATTTGATTTATCTATATCCATATATATGTAAAACCATCAATACTTCTTTTTTCTTTCTGACTGATTTCACTTAGCATAATTCCTTCCAGCTCTATACCCACTGGTTTTGGCAACTTTGTGAAAGGAATCTGGATAAAACTTCTCAGTAAATAGTCACAAATTGTTCATGCCATATGTCTGAATACATACAAGCAGGTTTAGAGAACCTGGCTGAATACAATAAAATAATTAGGTATGAAGAAAATAACCTGTTTTCTTATCAATATGAGCCAGAGCAGTGATGAAATAGGGTCAAAGTCATATACCCAAATTCAACCTCGATGAAGATGTTTTGCACTTTTCCATGTTAGCAAGTAAAGGACTCACATGGTCCTGTTATACCTTAAAAGGAAATGTTCACAATGTTTGGAGCTCATTCCATCCTTAGAACACAAGGAGACAAGTACTTCTATTAACTAGAAAATGAAAGCTGAGGCATAGAGAGGTCCAGTAAATTGCCCAAAGTCACACAGCTAAAAAGCAACAGTACTGAGATTTGAACCCAGGCAAATCTAGTTGCAGAAAACATGTTCTTTACTGCTTCAGCAACTGATTATCTCTTTCTTCCAGGAATTTTCTATATGTACAAAAAACTGATGGGACGTAGAAAGGGAAAAAGGCAAAAACAGAAAATGAATCATAAAGGATATGCGAAATATCTACTGAGGTTGTGCAATTGAAATTTGATGCTGTTTTTAAATATATATATATATATATATATATGTTTTAGATATCTCAGTCTGATGTCCTAAGTAATGATGTCAAAAAGCCAACTGAGACTCCTGAGAAAGTGTGGTTTGCTTTATCTTCTGTGCTAATATCCTTGACCAAAAACAACCTCAAGGTATCCAAGGGAGTCTAGAATATCCAGTCTGTCTTCTCTGAAGGAGGAAATATTTTCACTTTGAGAAGATGAAGTGAACACTTTCTTGGCTATGTATCTGATAATGTGTCTTTACTGGCAATACCTACATCTCTTCTTCTTGAACCAGATTCTAGAATTTTTTAAACCTACTGGTACAGTTCATTTCCTCTGCTTTCTTTGGTACTAAAGGAGGAAAAGTCAAATAATTGTAGTTCTCTTACTTGTGCAGGAGTCACTCCAGTGTTCGAAACCAGCGCTCCTCATCCAGTGCTGTCACTCAACCACATGTGTTCCTTTCTCTTCTACACGGGCCTTCGAGACACCAGTAAACACACTGACCTTTGAAATATGGAAAGAAAAGCGCTTTGAAATAAAACTGGCACAAACAGCGGTTAGACAGCCGTCATCTGGAGGCAGAAACAAAGAAGGCCATAGTTTCCAAGCTGTCTTCGTAATTACCCGAAGCAGTTCTCACTCAGGCCCCAGCCTAAGCAGTACCCCCCAAACAAACAGCCAAGGTTTGAGAAAGCACATAGGCCATTTCGTTGCTCTAGCACTCTGGGGGGCGGGAAGCCCCCCAGCTGAAAATCACATGTGGCTGGGACTGTTTTCCAGAGCTCCGGGCTCTTTCCTTTCTTCCTTCCCCATTAAATCCCTCTGCTCCACTTGGCAAAGGTCAGCAGGTGAGGTAAGTGCCAATTAACAACAAAGAACTTGATGTATTTCAAGTTTATGACTTAGAGCCGAGTTCTCGTGAAATATATTCTTCTCGGGTCCAGAAACCTCAGCAGTCAGAGTGCGAGGATTCTAAGTGTGGTTGAAATTTGGCTCCTTTTTGCTATTGCCGTAAGAGTGATTTTTCTTTTGGGGGCTTGCTCAAATCAAAAGCCAGGCAAACAACCCCAGAGAAGGGTAAAACCGGCTCTGAAAACTTCAGCAACAAAGGTAACTGAAGCAAAAAAGCTCAGCAAATTGGGGTATTGGAAAAAGTGGTCTTAAATTTCTCATACATTCTAGGAAATAATTGTGGCTAAGTTTTAGAAAGATGAGAGGTGAGACTATCTCTAAAACCTCTTCTAGCTTCCAGATTTGGGTACGATTTTTTTCTCTCTTAAGAATGGCTTCAGTTATGCTACATTATTGAGTGTTATCCTGTTGTTTATTACAAATATTTTTGTGAATTGTTTTTTGGTCACAGAGAGCTGAGATCTGATGAATAAAATGATCTCATTTGACACCTCAGAGTCCTAAGAGACCAAGAGGTTTGGAACATAAAGGGTTAAAATACATTTCAAAACAACCCCTCTAATTATTAATTGTACTCAGTTGTTTAATATTTTCTGTGCCAACTGAATTTAGCAAAGGGAATGACAGATGCATATTAAAATGCATGCAAATACTACACACAAACCACATTTTAATATATTGTTTTGCATTCTTAATTTTAGTCTTGTGATTTGTATTTCATTTGCTTGGGAACAAAGACTTTCTTCTTCCCTCACTTGGAAAACAAGGCAAGACTTGTTTCTGCCAGCATCCTAATAGTATTCCTGAAAAAGCAACCAACTTAATGGTTCAGGAACTGTTCTGCACCACCTGCTTGCAGGCCCCTTCAGTAGGGGCTGCATCTACAATGCACTGAAAAGGTGAAAATATGCAATCAATCAGTTGTTGTGTCTAAAAGTGGTGGGCAATCATATTTGCCTTGTTGTTGTATTAAAACTGAACAGACTGGCCCTCCCTGGTGGCGCAGCGGGTTAAAGCACAGCACTGAGAAGCTTAAGCCACTTCCGCATGAGTTCGATTCCCGCCTGTCCCGAAGGTGACCACATGGCGCGGCAGACTTCTCCTGACTGGCCTGCTGCTCCCCTCAGCAGTGTACTTCATTGATCTGCCTGTTCTGCTCCCCACTCTGTCTCTGGTGAAGCTCTCACCTCTGCCTCTATGGCCTGTACCCCAATTCTATATGAATAAATAAATCTTTAAAAAAAAAAATGAACATACTGCTTTTCTCCCAAAATCAAGCTGTTTAAATGTACCAGCTCCTTTTCAGAGAGAGGGTATGGCTGAGTGCCCCATATCCATTCACCAAATTTCACTCCCTTTTACTACAGGGTCATAGATGGAACTCATGTCTCAGCCTTTCCTGCTAGTAGGTTAACTCCCAACCAGTGGAATGTGGTCCAAAATACTGTATACAATGCCCCAGTCTGTTCATCAGACTGTGCTGGGCAGGTCCCCTAGCCTAGTGCTCTTCCTTGAGCCAGACTTCCAGGTACGGGAGATCAGGTGGAAGATGCCAAGAACAGCAAAGGACGTCTGAATGGCAGGGCTTGGGTGCTGGAATAAGGCTGCTGGGATCAGCCTCTCTGCCCTGAATCACTCCTGGCCAGGGAATCACAGTGGACTAGGACACATGTCTTTGTGTGCTGGCCATCTCCAGAGTTCCTGTCTCCTGGGGGTCATGCCCTTGTGTACCCATCTTCCCCAGTCAACAGGGGTGTTCTGTGGGACCGAAAGCAGGTATATATGTGCTATGTTATGTCTGAGATTAGATTATAAAAGACAGTAGTTTCTTGTCTGCTTCTCTCTCATTTTCTGTCTTCTCAAATCGCTCCATCTGGGGGAAGCCAGAGGCCATGTCCTGGGGTCACTAGGGCAGCCTGTGAAGATGCCCAGATGGTGAGGAATGGAGGCCTCTCTTCCGCAGCTGAGGGGAGCTGATGTCTGCCAACAGTCAGGTGAGTAAGCTTGGGAAGGCTCCAGCCCCAGCAGCCCCCTGGGCCCCCACAGTTCAGCAGATTGTAGAATACAGCTTTATGGAGAGACACTAAACAAGTATTCTCAGGTAGGCTACTCCTGGATTTTTGGACTCTCAGAAATGGTGTGACACAATAAATGTCTGTTGTTTAAAACTGCTATGGGGTGCCTGGGTGGTGAGTGGGGTGTGGTAACATACACCTGAAGAGTTGGGAGTCTCTCTGCCTTCCCCCCCTCCTTTTCTTTCTTTTTATTGAGTCAAGATTGTTTTATAGCCCTGTGTATGATTTAGGGAATGAGGTGCACACCTGCTTAGGTATATGTCACCAGTCATACCTATCACCAAAGCACACTGATTCCTTTAGATCCTTGGGCTTCCTTCCCCACTTTGTTTCCATCTGCAGAGACTATATTTCTGTATCATTTTTGAATCACTGTAGTGTTATAAGACAATGTTACTTTATCAACAAGAAGTTATAAGGAAATAAACATGATTATGCACATGAAAATAAAATAAAACTGCTAAATACACAGCGATAGATAATACAATGTTAATGTGAAATAAGTATTGCGTTAAACCACTGAAAGATCGGGACTGTTTGTTACAGCACTTGAATGCTGACTGATACAGAGGGGCAATGCTTGTGGTGAGCATCAGTCTCTGAACAGCACTGAAAAGATTTCTAAGGGCAAACAATCTGACTTGTTTTGTTGTGAGAAATCAGTGCCTGGATAAGGCAAACAATGAATATGGCTTTCACTAAGGTGCATAGTATGCTTCTAAAGATGGTTTGTACAACATTAACACTGTGACAGCAACTACTGTTTATAGCCTAGGTGGGACCAACTGCACATTAGAGTCAGAAAAATTCTGGGATTGTATTCCTATCAAATGCGTGGATGGTATTGACAGTTTGTCAAACATTCATGCAAAGAAGAGAAAATCTCAGTTATCTGGATATGATTGTGTTTCCACACAACCAAGCTTATGTTTGCAGACCAGGTGCTGTTCTTGTGATTAAACATGTTAATCTCTTTCATCCTCATAACTACCTGTTAAGAGTTTGCTGTGGTGCTTCTCATCTCACTGACGAGGAAACAGTCTCAGTTAGTTCAGCACCTTGTCCTGGATGGCAGAACCTATGCTTGATCTCTGGACTTGCAAACTTCAAAGATCTTAGTTACCTATTATACTATATTGTTCCTTCAGTCTAATTCTAAGAGAGAGGCCAGAGCTGTGAAGTGCGCGAAGAGGCCACAAAATCAGTGGGGGTAGGTTAAGAGATGTCCCTATAAGAGAACAGAATAATCAGAAGATAGGTCAGTAATTAATATTAAGAAGTAATTAATGTTAGTGTCCAATCTATGTGGACAAAATCTTGAAGGACATGATTTTACAGACACCCAAGTTGATTCAGGTAAGGAGCTCCCTTGCAGCTTATCAGAGATCCTTTAGGAGAACTTAAATGAAGTCTACTTTTAGATCATCAGCTCTAAAGCCCTGGCCTAAAAACCTGCACAGCTAATTTCTTCCAAATCAGCACTAGCCCCAATGAAATCAGGATTAGGCCAGAGAAGCACCCAGAACAAATCCCTGTGTCTGCTGCACCCGCCGATGCCATTTTGACTTGCTTTTCAGGAGAATATTTGTGGGGTGAGAACTGTAGGAAAGTGTCTGTTATGGGAAGCTCCTGGGGTTCTCTTTGCTCAGCCTTGTGGGGAAGAGTGGAAGTTGCTGTTTACAGGAACACTGCCAATGGACTAATGAGAACTTTTCATGACTTTTAGATGTTTATAAAACTGAAGGTTTTTGAAACCCACTTTCAAGAAAGACCTACAATTTTGGACACAGGGTTAGGTCCTGCAGAAAGAAGTTGAGACCAACAGCCAACAGAAGAAATCACTTAATCTGAATTTTTATGAATTTTGGGTGCCAAAATATTCTCCTCTCAATATTAGGTAGTAAGGCAGATTTTTAATCTGTAACAGTTGTTGACAGAGCAGAGTTTTAAATGTATTGTTTACTTCATGGGGCAATGGGTTTACTAAAGAAATGAATGATGCATTAACCTTCTGCAAGGAGAATATTAAAGTTGTGTGGGATAATATACCATTTTAAAAAATGTGGAAGGCCTGTTTACATAAAAATAAATTGATATGTCCATTATAAATGACTCTAAATAATTTATTTGAGTAGACCCTCAAGGATCTAATTCTAACAGGAGCTAAGCTTGAATTCCATTTGAAAATAAGACTGACTACTTTATAATGCTCCACAATTCAGAATATTCGTGTATTTGTTTCTGCCACTCATTCTGAATTAACATAGTCTTGCTAGAGAAGAGTCTGTATTTATGAATCTTCATTCTGCTTTCCAGGCTGACATTAATTCATCACTTTCAGGTTCTCTCATAAAAACACGATAATTAAAAAAAAAAAAAAGCACCAATGAATAGCATTGTCTAAATGAATTCAGGGTCCTCTAATCAATCGATCACTGACATACAACTGCCTTATTTGAGGTCACCACCTAAAGGAAGAGAGAGCTAGATCAGATTTTTAGTTATCCCCCACTATGTCACAGGAATTCAACCTGTACCTTTAAACATTCCCCAGGGAGTAGAAATTATGAATTGGAAGAGAGTGTACAGCAGATGTAAGAGACAGAAACCAGTTAATGAATGGAGATGGGAAGAAGCTACAGGGTAGCTAAGGAAGAGACCCAAAGTGAAGCTTCTGTAAGACTTTTGACTTCTCTGCAATTTCAGTTCTACCCGTGGCTGGTGGTTCAACTTCCTTTAAATTTACATCTTTACAACCAAAGAATACTTTAAGTGTGTATCTCGGCACCACACCTATTTTTTTTTAAAGATTTATTTATTTATGCATACAGAACTGGGGTACAGGCCAGAGGTGCAGGGGCGGAGAGAGGCTTCACCAGAGACAGAGTGGGGAGCAGAACAGGCAGATCGACGAAGTACACTGCTGAGGGGAGCAGCGGGCAGGTCAGGAGAGGTCTGCCACGCCATGTGGTCACCTCCAGGGTAGGCAGGAATCGAACTCATGCGGAAGTGGCTTTAGCTTCTCAGTGCTGTGCTTTAACCCGCTGCGCCACCAGGGAGGACCCACACCTATTATTTTTACACCTAATGACATTAACAGAGAAGAGTCCTCTTACTCCCTGCCTCCTATCTGACCTCCTATTCCATTCCGTATAGCCCCTGGGCTATCTATTTCAAAGGCAAATATAATCACTTTCTTCCCCAGCTACAAAATGGCTGGTCACCAACAATTTCTCAATCCTATGAGAGATTTCAAGATCCACCCGCCTACCTCCCCCACATTTTATTTGTCATTCTCCCTCTCAGTTCTATATTCGCTCGGCACGTAAACAGATGTACTTTCCACCATGGCATCTTTTACCTTTTCTCTTCTCTGCTTGGGATTTTCTCTCCCTCTTATTGCACCACGCAAACTATGTTGAAACCCTGAGTCACTCTACAAGACCTATGTCTTCCACTTGGGAACCTTCTCCATCCCTAAACAGGGATGAACTCTCCCACCTTTGAGCCTGCACCAGGACGTGCAGACTTTACCAGGAACTGTTTACACCACTCTGCTTTTCCATTGTTTTTCCAAGTATAGTCTGAAGAACAATGGCCTCAAAAATACCTGCCTATGAGAAGTGAAGGTGCCTTATTCCTTAGTCTCATAGATGAGTAGAGAACAAGAAGGACGATGGTGGACTTTACACTCAACAGCAGATGCTACCTATTACACATGGCGGATCATAAATGAACAAAACAACAAACTTGCTTTAGATTCACAGGATGGGCTTCCATAGCATCTATGAATGGTAGCATTTGTGATCTAGTGTAGCTCAGGATCTAGTCCTTTTGGTCGAGCATCCTGTCGATCCCAGCTCCTAGTCCAAAGCCCTGAGGCATGGTCACTAAGTAAATGCTTTTTCATGGACTGAAAGAAACTTCGGTCTACAGAAGCTGAGTGCTGTGCAGCCTGGCAGAGACGCAGCCATGAAGCATCAACAAGATTAGCACAAGGCCTGTTCAGTTCCTCAGGAGGAGGCTCTAAGTGAGAGCAAAGGCCTAGTTGGCAATGCTCTGATGTGCCTTTGTAGAGATCCTTGATGTGGGCTGTGAAATGTCAAATCCAGATTTGATTAAGCCCAACTCCAAATCCCTAAGGCAAGTGTATATCCACGGTCTTAATGTAATTATTGGCGCCACCTCCGTCTGTTACTTTCAAACGGGCTGAGCTAGCCCCCCATCCTCTGATACAAACTACTACAAAATGAAGCCTGCAATTAATTCAGCACATCCCAGGCGGATAATGCCTAAAAAGCTTGCTGGCTCCTTCTTGAAAATTGAAGTATTAAATTCAACAACAAAAACAAAAAATCCTTCTGATCTGCTGAAAAACCGAGAGAGAGGGTGGATCCAGAAGGCTACAGGAGAAATCAGAGTTCTGTTTCTTTTGCTTAGAGTGAGTCTGTTGTTGTGTGGAACTTTCCACTTCCTCCTTGTAATGATAACCTATCAATTTTCAGTTAACCCATTCTTTTGAATTTTTAGAGACAGCAGTAAATAAACAACATGAGCTGGTATAATGGTAGTGGACTTGGAGGTGGATGATTCAGTAAACGCTCGTGGAAACTTGGCTGCTTTGCTTATATACACTTGAAGGATGAGGCCAAAAAAGTCAGACCAGAACTGAGTCCCAAACCAAAGCAGGCACATGGGGATCTATCAAATTAAACCCAAATGCCACAGCTTCACTGGAGCAGACCAGATTTCACCCCTGCATTCTCAGAGGGGAGAGGGTGGGGGGCATCTACTTCCAAGCTCAACCACAAACCAGAGCTCCACTTTGTTCTGTGAAATTCAGAACACATTTCTTCTTTTTTTTTTTCCTCTTCAAAATGTACTCCTACCCTGACTTAGGTTCTGGCTGGAACTGAAATCCTAAGAGCCAAAGACACCAGGGGGAAAGTTGCCTTATTGAGAAATCCAGTCTGAGTACAAGCAAGACAGATCAGCCATCTTTTGACCTTACCCGGTGGTGAAGCCCAAGTGTTCTCCATGGTTTAGAGAACTTGGAAAAGGTCCGTGGAACTGTCAAGCCACTGAAAATTTAAAGTTTTGCTTGTCACCCTACATGGAGATGATTCAGAAATTTCCTGACTTCTAGAACCTGTTTCAAGTCAGCCCAGTAAGTCTGAGCAATCTTAAGCCTGGGTGACCCACAACAAACCTTGTATTTCTGGGACTCTTGAGATCAGCCCAAGCCAGACATTTCGAGGCTATTATGGATTTTGTTGAGTCAGTTTGAAACAGACTCACCACAAGAAAAAGACAATTTCCACATCAACATCTAGAATAAGAGGGTGGGGAACCAAATGGCATTTTACCATTTTTTTTGTTGTTGTTGTTCTTAAGTCAAGAGTTAATGCCAGACATGGCAGTGACACAAAGACTAGAGGAATGACTGGTTTAAATATTCAGCACTCTTTTATGCACAAATTACATTAGACATAGTTCCTGCCTTTCAGGGACTCCCTTGCCAAGAAGCCTCTACTGCCTCACACTCTTGGCTTCTATATGACATCCAAATTCATATAAATCCCTTTTGTCTTGCCCTCACCCACACTTCCATCTTCACACCATCTCTGCTTTCTACCTCTAGACCAAATGTTGCCAAACATTTTTCATAGAGATCTATAAAATACGTATTTTAAGTTTGTAGTTCATGTGGTCTCTGTCACAACCTTTCAACTCTGAGTTGTAGAATAAGATCCATTATAAACAACGTGTAAATGAATGAGCAGAACTATATTTCAACAAAACTATATCTCAACACAACTGACCAAAAAAAGTGGCAGATTCATTTTGACCCCTGAACTGTAGTGTACCAACCCATGTTTTAGATGGACCAAATTTTCTCCTTTGGAGTTGCTGGTTTCTTCTGCCTGTATGCCTTTGTTCTTTTTTCCTAGCTCAAAGAAATTAATTCATTATTTACTGGAGACTATTTTGTGTCAGCTTCTGTCTAGGAGCTAGAGAAGCAACAGTGAAAAAAATAAAAAAAAACATTTTTGCTGTGATAGAATTTAGATTCTAGTGGGAACAGACAGTAAACAAGTAACAAAACACATGGTTGCTACAGGTAGGGTGAAAGAAAATAAGGCTGGGGAAGGAGTAGGGATATTATTTTGAATACAGTGTAAGTAGGGATATAATTTTGAGTACAGTGTTTAAGGAAGATCACTTTGTTGAGGTGACATGGCCGTGAGAGGAAAATAATGTATGTGGATGTGGGAACAGGGAAAGCATTGCAGACAGAGAACTGGAAAGTGCAAAGTCCCTCTCAGATGAGAGCAGTAGCTGTGGGTAAGATTTTTTCAGGGCCTTGTAGGTCATGGAAAGGAGTGTGGTCTTTATTCTGAATAAGAATGGAAGCCATCGAAAGGTAAGAAACAGAAAAGTGAGAAGATTTGCTTTACATTTTCCTGGGTCTCTCTGTAGCACAGAATTTAGGTAGGAAAGAATGAAAGCAAGAACGATAAAGCACTATTGAATCCATGTGTCCAGGTTGTCTAGCGTGATACAACCAGAGGTGGTATGAGTGGTCATTTCCAAATATTTTCTGAGGGTAAACATGAAAGTCATGGGGTGAAAGAAATTGTTGAAGATGACACCAAGAATTTTGGCCTGAGTAAGCAGAAGGATGAATTTCCGATTTATGGAGGAGAATATATAAGAGAAGACTGCATGGGAATAGTCAAGATTATGTTTTATCATGTTATGTTTTAGATGCCTATTGAACCTCTAAGTGGAAATGTTAAGTAGGCTTTTGGATAAATGCTTTGGGGTTCAGTGGGAAGACCAGGAATAAAGGGAGATATTTAGGGATTACCTATAGTAGGTGATATTTCAAACCTTGAAATGAGGCTTAGAGAAAATTAGGAAGAGAGTGCAGGTAAGAGACAGAGATCTGGAGCATTCAGTGTTTAGGAGTTGGAAAGAACAACAACAAAGGAGGAGTGACCAGTGAGAAAAGGAAGTGGAGTAAGAG